CTACAGAATATGGTTACAGCACTGTTGCTGTTTTACTTATTACTATTGGATCTATGTTTGGTACAACCCTCATTTTATTTAACTCCTGTCAAGAAATCTATACACTCATTTTGCAGCTGTTTGTTGGTTTGGCTGTTGGGACCCTTTCTGGAGATGCTTTGCTACACCTTATTCCTCAGGTAGGTAATACACACTTTTGTGTTTAAAAATGTTGGCACAGAACTAAATTTTTCATTATGCATTCATTTATTTTTGAGGTTTCTCTTATGATATGACACAACCGTTATGAATTGATTTTTGACTGGTTAGTCGTTGAAGGAGAGCTTCATATCTTCACTTGAGGTGATGGTCAAAATGTTTGTCGTACCCAGTACATCATCTCTGGAAGCAGAACTAGGAGAGTGGTCTAAGGAAGGCAGTCATTAGTGCACGTCAGACAAATGCATTTCATTAAAAAACACCTTCTGAGTGTGAAAGTACTCTGCTTCACTAGTTTTAAGTGACATATCCAGCAGCCTTTAAATTGCCCGCTTTCAGAGCAAAGGAGGGCTACCATGCTGTGATACTACAGAAAGAATGGAAACACACCCAAAATATGGATTATTTTCAATGTGAAGTTTACGTTTGAAGAAGATGCAAGTAACATTTTAGACATCAAAGATCAATATACTCCAAACAAAATATACCAAATATATGTATGTGTATATATATATATATACACACACACACATATAAAGGGCAATTTCGTAGAACTGTCTCTAAAAATAATGTTACTTTCACCACTGAGAGATGATAAAATGTAGCAGAGGCTCCTAATAATTAATTTCATCCATCTACTGTTCAGCTTATTAGCTCAAAACGCAATTTAAATTTGAAAGAAATGGCAAAATAAAATTTTGATAATAAATTGAATTAACACGTTATGGAATATTCTAGCCAAAATTAAAGCAGTGCCATATTGTGTTTTTTTTACTTTATCTCTTTTGTTTAGACTCTTGGTTTACATAAACATGAAGCACAAGAGGTAGAACATTTCTACGAGGGGAAAGAATATATTTGGAAACTTTTGGGGATAATTGGAGGAATTCATGGATTTTTTTTGATAGAAAAGTGTTTTTTTCTTTTGGTGACACCACATGACCAGGTAAAGCTTTGTACAATTAATTCTTTAAAAAAGTTAATCTTAAAATAAAGATTTTACAGTCCACAAAGTGTTAAAAAGATTGTGGAAAATAATTAGCATTTATATGAGTTAAATGAAGCATTAAAAATTGTTTTTCAAAGTGCTCCTACCAGATTGATCTTCAGTTTCTAGTTTAATTTGCTCTATGGATTTAGATGGCTTCAGGAATGTATTCCATGTATTTATAATTCAAGAAGGGAGCAGTTAATTGAATGTGTTCTGTAAGCATCCTTTCGTGACTAGCCCTGGAGCAGGTGAAGAGTAAATATCCCTGTAACAGTTTTTACTCTAGGTTCTGTTTGAAGAGCAGGAAGACCTAGATGTAACCACAAGATATTTTCAAGAATATCTTAAAATTTCCAAATTGTTTTTGACCTCTATCTCACTAGATTTGAAAGTCAAATATGTATGTTGAGGTCAGTAGAACCCAGTCACATATTTCTAATAACTGCTTGCTCACTGTCATGCTTGTAGTAATTCTACTACATTATTTCAATGTGGCTGGTGCCTGACAATATGATTATGGACAAGGATACAAAATAACACAAAATGTGGTGGCTCATTAAGTTTCTCAGCATGGGAGGCTATCTTAATGTCACTTAAGAAGGCTAAGCCCTTGCTTATTCTGTTTTACAGAGTGCTTAATGTCTGGTTTGATTCAGATGCATAGCAATCAGTCCCTGTTCTACTATCTTTGAGTCAACCATAAGAATATTATGTGAGATTAATAGAATGAGAATATATTGATGATGGTGCTATTTTGTTTGTTTGGGAAAAAGCAGTCCTTTTTACTGCGTATTTGGAGAGAAGGTTTTTATCATTATCCCACAATTTTTAAAAATTGTTCTGCTGAGAACTGGATGAATTCTCAAAGTTATTTTTTTATATCCATCTCATCTTCAAATTTAATCTTCAGTTTTAAAATAAGTTTGACCAAGCCATTATGGTTGTTACTGATTTATCTGATTCACTTTTCAGGTCTTTTTTGTTGGCTTTGTTTGTTTGTTTGTTTAACCAAATAAGCAGTAGGAAATGTTGATGCCAGCCACCAGTCTTTTTGTTGATTTTAAAAGGGTAATTCTTATAAATGCTAAACTTTCACAAAAGGCTGAGAAAGACTGCACGTATGTTCATTGGGCTTCAGAACTAATTGCAAAGCATCTTCATTCAGCAGGGCCTTTCTTTAGTTAATGGGCACTGGGGGCATTCCCATGATCTTCCAGTGGAATCTGAATTAAATGAACATTCAGGCAGAGGCAAATCTACCTCAACCATACAGTTGGTAGGTTACTAATATGACATACTTTCCTGATTTTATATTCTTTTTCTGTTCCTAAAAAAAAAATGAACCAAATTAATGTAATAAATCAGTATTATTGTTCAATCTTTACTGATTTGTCTTTATTACATGACATGATTGTCAGGAATCTCTAGATTTTGAAGTTTATAATGAGCTTTTACAGAGATTTCAAACACAGTTTATTACAGTAACTATCAGATGGTATTACAATATACTTTCTGTACTACCTTTTACTGATAAAATTCTTCAAGATTTTCCTCCTCCCTTCTTTTAAAAAAATTATCATATGTAAGAGAAGACTCTTCCATGAGAAAAGCTTCTTTTCTGCAGTAAGAGTTAAGTGCAAAATTAGTGAAGAAATGAAATCTTGGACTGTCCCTGGGCAATTTTCCACCGATTTGAAGAGTAACATACACAAGCTGGATATCTGAGAATGGTCTTTACCTACAAGAAATTACATAATTTTCTATTAGTCTATGGAGAGTATCCAGACAGATACATATTTGTGAACTAAATTGACTTATATCTTTTAACCTGTTTCTCTTTTTTTTTTATTTTCCCCCATCAAATCTCTTCAGTATCTAGTTATGCAGGACCCTGGTTATTAAATCAGAATCTCCAGAGATCTTTTATAATGTGAACTCCATTTTAGTAAAACAGTGGTAATGGGTAAGAGCCTCATGAGCCACTGCTAATCTCTCAAACACAGTCAGGAAACTCATAGTTGAAGCAGAGCAAACACACGAGTGAAGAACGTTTACTAATTTGTAAACCACATCATAGCCTCCTGCTTATGATAGTGGATGACCTTATCATTCCTCTCAGCTGCAAGATCTCCCTAAAGTTATGTATAGATCACACGAACTAGCCTGGCTTAGCTGGTTTGTACAAGAGCAGTGAATTTTTCAGAATCATGTGAGTAATAGTAAGACAAACACTGGTTGACTAAGAAAAGCTTATAAATCCTTCAGGTCAGTGATTAGTCTTGCAGTTTTGACTCAGAGTTCAAAAAAATGGCACGTGAATAAGTATTATAAAAGAAGTTATACAATTACTGGAATTCATGTGACTGGCTGCAATCATGGGAATTAAAGATTTTTATTTTTCCTTTAAAATGTAGAATTTAAAACCCAAATTCCTTCCCTCTTTATGCTTCTCCAACACATATCCCATATCACAACCGAGCTAATACCAGCCAAGAAACATCCTGTTTTGCAGTCAGTACACATCTCTGATACGTTTTTTGGAGTGGTGGCTGCTGCCTCTAACAAAGCACTATTTTGTGCTGTTCTTGACTCTTTGCTGGCTGCCACAGTAGTTTTAATATATTTTTTTTGACAAAAAAGAGAAAAAAATAGTGATTATAAATTCAGTCTTTCTAGTTTCAAGCACACCAATTTTTTGGCTTATCTCACCCTCACACAAATTTATAATGATTTCTCTAGTTGGAAAGAAAAGCCCTAGGAAGGTAGAAAGAGAGAGAGAGATGTTCCTCATGTTCTCTCTTCTCTCCCCACAGTTGTAGTTTCTGTGAATTAAGCATTAAGGCTGATGCATCAGATTAGCTCTGTAGGATAAGGACAAAGATACCATCTCTTTCTTCACTTGAAATAAGGGTAAATTGCACTCACTGCAGTTGAGTGTACTCATGTGCTGCTATGCCCAGACAGTGATGCCTGATGCCAAGACAAAGCCCTAACTAAAGGGCAAGAGGCAAGGCACTGGAGGCTCTATCATCCTGAACAAAAAAAATCCCTATATTTTGACAGGACATGAAGCCTACCTATGATAATCTTTTTTAGTCTTGTTTTTTCACAGAGTACCTGTGAAGAACATGAACTCCCAAGAGACTCTGGTGTCCCTGTCCAGCAGGAAACTACAATCATCTGATTATGACAAAATCAAAATACACAACTTGAATTATATTGTCCTTTTTAGTTGTGCATTTGGCTCAGATTTTAGTGTGTTCAAGCAGAAACATGATTTTCATGGGTTTCAACAGTGCTTATGAATGTCTCTCTTCCTACCTGAATTAGACTGTAACCTTTTCTGGGCAAGCGAACTTTCTTTTTTTATGTGGTTCTGCAGTACCAATCACAGTGCTCAATACATGATTCTAACAATATCTATGTAAATAACAGTAACTATCTTTAATTTTAAAATCTTGAACTTATTTGATATTTTCCTGTATTTATAGCAGCCACTGGAAGAGCCCTGTAACACTGATCCATTATCTTTGTTTTTAACTAGAGAAGCCCAGAAGATTCTGAGTCTCCTGAAGTTCCTCCAGAGACTAAGGCGATCAGCAAAAAAAGTTAGTATCAATAAAAAGAGCAGACAAGTAACAGCAAAAGCCTTCAGACCTAAGATGGAATTGAACGTATGAAGCTGGCTTAGCTTTGCGCTTGCTGTCACCACATCTGATGGTGCTTGGCCACATAATTTAGCCTCTACTTAAAGACCTTTTCAACTGCCAACCTTGTAATTGTAATCTTGTACTGTCTTTAGTGTTCATTTACTCATCGTTGCAAATCATTTTTCTAAAGCCTTTACTTAAATGGAAATATTCAAAATTTAATTCAAAACATAATTGTAAACTTTGCTTGGGCTTTTATTTCTGAAGGTGGTGAAACAATTGCTTTGTTGGCTCACTATACTAGTATTTCTGCTTCTTTTTTTCTCTTAGATGGTAAAGCAATTGTTTCTTTAAACAAGTCATGATTTATTACATGTATAGAATTATGGGATCAGAATGGCTCTCAGGTTTAGGATAATCGGTTTTCTTCAGAGAGCTTCAAAATAATTCCTGTCTTCTCTGTTTTGTTGCTGCTTAGTCTGAAAAAATGAGAAAATAGAAGGTAAACCAAGCTCTGCCTTTGACTGTACTTGTGTGACCTTGGTGATTTTAGTAGAGTTGTAGTCATTCAACTGACAGGCTAACATTTTATTTGAAATCAGTTTATTTACTGCAATCAACTCCTCTTTATTTTGTGATCTCAGACCTCAGGTGATCTGATTTATTTAACAATGTCATTATCTTCTTCTAGGTTTTTAATATTCTTCTCTATTCCTGTGAACTTCATTTCCACTTCTGAGGCATTTGAAATCTGAATTTCCATTTCTTCAGTCTCACCTATCCAGCAGTACAAAATCCAGTGCCAGTTTCAATGTGACTATCTAGTCCATCTCTAGATGTTTCCATTCTGTTCAATCAAATTTTAAGTGATCTCAGTGTTAATTGTTCCAAATAACTAGATTTAGTGTATAACAAAATTTAGGATAGTTTCCCAGTGATGTTCTGCGTTTTGTTCCATTTTTTCCTCATACCTCACTCAATTTTACCTCTATATCAGAAATCAGAAAGGGAAACTGTAGTAAGGAAAGGGAGTTGCTTTGTTTTAGGGTTTTTTTGAGAATAAGTATTTTCAAAAGTTTGTATTGTTACAGTTCTTATTAATAGCTAAATGTGTAAATATACCCGGCTACCTTGATACTGAGCTGAACTTTTAGGTGAGGTGTTTTTCCCAAAATGGAATGGAATCTGCAGCTTTAAGAAAGAAGTCTGACATCTCCAGAAATGCTAGACTTCACTGTACATGCATGTCAGGTATGACTGCCAGAGGAGTCAGTCACCATAGATAACCAGTGAATAACTCAGAAAGCAAGAAGCTACTGAAGGAAAAAGATGTCTCATTTATCCACACTTGTTCCAATATCAAACAGTAACATTTTATACTTGGTATACCCAGTGAGACTTTAACTAGAAATGCTTTTGCTGTATGAATAATTAAAACATTGGAAAAAAAGATCTATTTATGGATAAATGTTTGCTTTAAACATGTAATCTATGGTGAGAGTCCTGCATCCATTAGCTTTATGAAAATTATGGAATAGAATTTTCTGTGAGTTCTAGTCTCCTATTTAGGTAGAGAAAATTATCAAAAATAAATGTAAGATTATTAAGAAGAAGAGGCTTTGTAGAAATTAGGTAATAAGTTAATGCTTAATAATTACTGTTGAAGCAATATAATGTGGTGAGAGAATTGCCAGTAACAAAGTTGCTTTACAATGGGCTGAAAGTAAATTAAGATAAACATTCTGGTTTGTTTATATATGCGTATTCTTAATTTTCAGTCAAATAAGTTCACAGAGCTTATGTGTCCAATTGCTCCATAATCTTAACCTGATCCCTATGTTATATTATAGACAATACACCGGAGCAAGTTCCAGTAACTATGGTATATCTTCTTCAACAATTAGATACTTGAATAAAACAGACTAATAGTATCTCAGGGCAGGCCATGATTTTGTCCTCACTAGTGCTTATGACAAATCACAAACTTGATGTAAGGCAGCAATCTATCATTTCTGCGTAATTCGTGCTCTGCACTATTGATTATGAACTGCCCATAGAATTTAGACAGAACTGTGCGAACTGGGGACATCCATGTCTGGATCTGTAAGCTGTCAGGAAAATCTAACAAGCCTGCCAATTTTTCTGAACCCGCAGAGATCCCAGGCAACTAGGGAGGATTTCTGAATACAGTTGTTAGGCTTTTACGTGTTGTGTGGGTTTGAGGTTTTTTTTAATAGTCTGAAGACTTTAGTTCTAGCCAGTTTCTGTAAGAAAAACATATCCCCCATCACTATGGTCATCTCTGGAAAAACATTACTGAAGTGAAACCTTGTAGTAACTATATTCAGACAGTTCTGTGCAGCTCCATGTTAGCTCCTGTCATGCTATGTCTGTTGCGGGGCCAAGAAAAAGTCAGGAAAATTCATTATGTTTATAGTCCATTCTGCTGTGGGCTTCTTCAGGCACAAAAGCAACATTTTGTGGCGAAGCGTTCTCTTCATACTGTGTAGAGGGAAGCTGGATGAGTTTCCTGAAAGACTTTAGAAGGTCTTGCTTGTAAGATTGCGGATAATGTGGATGGGACAAAGCACAGGATAGGAGAGCCAATTATATATTACTGACCCTAGACACACTGAGCCTCGCTGCTACTTGAAGAGATAAAATCCCTCCCTGTGAATCCATTTGGCATGCTACATGGATGTCTGGGTTATGGGCTGGACAGAGAGAGTGTCCCTAATTCCCTAGCTTGATTTCAAGACTTTTATCACTAGTAGCACCCTTCCTCTCATGTCAGATACCTGTTCCTAGAATCAATGGCTTCAGCTGGAAGGGACCTTAATGATCACCTAGTTTCAACCCCACTGCCATGGGCAGGAACATCTCCCACTAGACCAGGTTGCTCGAAGCCTTGTCCATCCTGGCCTTGAACACTTCCAGGGATGAGACATCCACAACTTCCCTGAGCAACCTGTTCCAGTGTCTCATCACCCTCGTAGTAAAGAATTTCTTCCTAATGTCTAGTCTAAATCCACCCTGCTCTAGTTTAAAACCATCACCCTTCAGCCTATTGCTACATGCTCTTGTAAACTGTCCCTCCCCAGCTTTCTTGTAGAGCCACTTCATGAGCATCCACGTACTGTTCCACACTAAAACAGAGTCACAGAATAATATGTAAGAGAAAAACAACCATCTGCACCCGTGAATGATGCTGCAGACAGGAGCACTGTGAGCGTAATGGCCATTAATTGATTGGAACAAAGGTTGGAATTGAGCATGCTGTAACGCTGTAATAATAGTGATACGCTAAGGCTTGTTGCCTTTCATCCTTATCTTTCACTGTAATACAATCTCATAAAAACAGACCCTGAATATATTACTTAGTAGCAACATGCTTACAGTATTAAAATCATCAGCTGCTTGAGGCAAAATATTAATCTTCATTATAGTTGTGAAATTCCATGAGTGACGGTGGAAAAACTCCCATCTTTTAAGGAAAAAGTAATCTAGAATGCAGGAATACTTGTGTGAATTTCAGCAGTCTTTCAGAGAAGATTAATGGAAACCTATAGGACATATCATGAGTCTGGAGTCAAACTGAGCTCTAAGTTTTTGTCTAATAGTTCACCCAGAAAAATGAAGAAGCTACTTTCTGGTATTTGCATCTCTGAATTATTGTACAACCTACTTGTTCATTTCAAGTGTTTTGAAAGAAGTATCATAACAAGAGCAAAAGTGATAAACAATGTTGTCCTCTGATTATTAGGACTTTTCTTAATGTTTTATATGAAAAACCCCAAATAATTTGTAACATAGCAAAAAATAAACCCTCTGTATTAAAACTTCTGGGTTTTGTTGTTGTTGTTTTTTACTTGTTTGGTTTTTTTCCTAGGTAAGAAAATTAGCTTATTAGCAATAATGGTTCTGGTGGGTGACAGTCTTCACAATTTTGCGGATGGCTTGGTAATAGGAGCAGCGTTCTCGTCTGCGACAGAAACAGGAGTGACAACAACTGTTGCCATTTTATGCCATGAAATTCCTCATGAAATGGGTAAGAAATATATACATGTGTAATTTTCTTGATTGGCTTTGTAGTTTTAGGTTTCCCAAATAATTCTTTCAGCTATGAATGATATTAGTGGGAATTCAGATCTATATCATGAACTATGTGTGAGATGATATACATAAAGTACCTGTTTCCTTCTCTTTCTGCTTCACAAAATGGAGGGGAGGTTTCTGCCCTCATTAGTGGATACTTCTCATCTCATCTTCTCCAAATATAAATGCCATCAGGTCAAGAGTGACCTGTTATTCTCATGTGTACAGACACAAAAAATAGTAAGCTGTGAGCAAGAACCATGGGCATATAGTGGGCATGCCTGACGCAACGGGCTGCCCAAGAGTTTAATGTGCAGCAAAGCCATTTAACAATGTATTCCTCATGTTGCTCCCATTCCTGTTGCTAATCAAAAACAGCAAGATAATAAAAGAAGATATATGACTCATTTTACTAGCAGACAGGACAGGAAGATCATTCCATTGGACATTGCCTTCAAATATCTCTTTGTGGTGAAGCTTTCAGTGTGACTGAAGTTGTTCCTTACATTGCGCTGATGAACGTATCTAAGCTGGCAAGTTCAAGATGAGAACTGCAGATTCTCAGTTCTGTTCTTAAATGACTGAAGATTTCATGTGCTGTCTATGTAGAAAACTTCACAAAAAAAAAAAAGGGAACTGCTGTGAAACTGGTAACTCTTGTTTGCATAGCAAAGGAATTGAAATCAGTGGAATTTAAACTCAAACGGGAATCAGACTGGCATAAGTTTTTCTGACTTGCAGCACCTGTAAAACACTCAAAGACCATGCTGCAAATATACTCCCATGACTTGAACTGGCAAGTTCCCAGTCAAGAAAGATTTAGAGACTCTGGGAAAGCATGTGACTACGCTTCTACATGGATCCAAGTTGGAAATGTCACAGAACATGAAGAACTAACAGAAAGCCACTCCTGTATACTGTATGTTATCTTTAGGAACAGCTAAACAAATACAAGGCAATATGGGGGGTTTGGTTTTGGTTTTGCACCTAGGATGAGGGTATAACTAATTCTACAGAAATTAATGGCAGTCCTCCATTTTTCACTATCCTTGTGCATATCTCAATTATTTTCCTTAATGTTTTATTAGCAAGAGTCTTACAAATGCATTTATCAGCTAAACAATAAATTTTCTGTCTTTTTGTCTATGCAGGAGATTTTGCTGTGCTGTTAAGTACAGGGCTCCCCACGAAGATTGCAATTTTGATGAATTTTATAAGTGCACTAACAGCATTCTTAGGACTGTATATTGGCCTTTCGGTCTCGACTGACCCATGCATTCAGAACTGGATTTTTACTGTTACAGCTGGAATGTTCTTATATTTATCTTTAGCAGAAATGGTGAGAACTTCAGCCTATTGTTATATTTTCCTTTTGACATAGCCACATTACAGATGAGCCACATTACAGATACAGGTGGGTGATCTTGGAGGGGAA